ACATATTCATTAATCTCCAGTATTTTAACCCTTTAAATGCCTCTTTGTATACATTATGCCACTATTTGCTTGTTTTTGTTTGTGAAAAAGCAAGTTATTTTCCATATTAAAGGTGTTAAGTGGAATTTTTCTCTTTGAATATTGGTGGCTCACTGTTGCCTCACAGCTAGGAGGTCCTGGGTTCACTTCCCGGCCTGTGGTCTTTTTGTGTGGAGTTTGCATGTTCTCCCTGCGCCTGCGTGGGTTCCTCAGCTTCCTCCCACAGTTCAAAGTGATTCTAAATTGTCTGTAGGTGTGAATGTGAGTGTGCTTGGTTCTTTGTCTCTCTGTGTGGCCCTGTGATAGGCTGACGACCTGTCCAGGTGAACCTTCCTTAGCCCACAGAGGATTCAGCAGTGTATGGAAAATGGATGGATGGATTACAGTGTGAACTATGTCAATAATTTATTATCAGACCACTGATTCTTAGTCTTATTCATTGTTTTGTTTTTGTTTTTTGTTTTTTGTACATTGTCAGACTTTTAATAAAAGCTGTCACCCAGGACCTGCAAGGACAAAAATGCCAGGTGCCATAAAAATATCAGGTTTCTCCTATAAACATCAGTCATAATAATAATAATAATAATAATAATAATAATAATAATAATAATAATAATAATAATAATAATCACTTTCAATATTTTTGTCAGTTAAATGCCAGTTTATTTACACAATGCCAATAACACAGACATACACACACACAAAAGGAAAAAGAAAAGAGGAAGCAACATTCACTCCACAGGATAAATGGCCGAATCTGGAGGAAAACTGAAAAAAAAAAGACAACATTAAGCCATGCATTTCATATTTTTGGCCTTTTCTTACAACAATTATAACAGCAATAACAACAACAATAAAAATAATAACTTATTGGCATAGCAACTTTTGAAAACAAAGTTACAAAGTGCTTTACAATAAATCAAATATCTAATTAGACAAATAATGGACACACATTCAAACAAATGAATAAGATGTTAAACATGCAATATCACAACATTTTCAAAAAACATAGTTAAGTCGAGTCATGACATTTATTTTTGGCAGTGGGATCAAAATAGCTTTTTTTTTTTTTTAAGGTTTCAAAGGGGCCATTCTGTCCTTTAGGTCCTAAGTGTGTGTTTTTGTGTACACAGTGTGTTATAGATGTATTATAAATTGTAATTCCTCCCAAGATGCACACCAAAATACAATAATGGAAAGGTATTAGGGGTTGCATTTATTTTATTCTTCTTCTTCTTCTTCTTCTTTCTTTTTTTTTAAAATAAATGCATTGCACTGTACGTGTTTACTAATTCTGACCGGTACGTGAAGGCAGCATTGCACCCATCGTCTACCGCCGGGAATTCCCACGCGACGTGAACGCAGCGCCAAACGACAGCAGGCAGAGGTGAAAAGTCTGGATCATGTTGTCATTCCAGCGGAGCCACACTTGAACGACAAAAAGGACCTTGTAAATAAACATCAACACGGCGGTGAGCAGAGCACGTCGAGGTTCTGTCCACGGAGACGAGACATTGATGTCGTTTGTCGGCCGAGCAGCTAGCACAGGCTGAAATTTGTTAGCTAGCTAACGGAGGACCCTGTTAGCTAACCGCCACCATCATCGCTCCTCGCCAGCTGCGGATCGCCCTGTCTGCCTACGATGGGAAACGCAGCAACTGCCAAGAAAGGCAATGAACAAGAAAGCGGTGAGCACCTGGAAAGCGTCCAGCTAGCCTCGTAGCCGTTCGTAACGTTTAGCTATCGCGCAAGAGCTAGCCTCGCTTATCGGAGCCTTTAGCGGTTGTTGTTAGCAGACAGCTCAGTAAGCTCAGGGGCTGCAGAGAAGAACCATCTTTGGTAGGGCAGTTGACAAGGTGTGTTTGCTGATCATTCCTGTTTGCTTGGTGCCTCAGATGATGCAGCCAGCTTGTTGTTCCAAAGTGACATACGAGCAGATGACAGTCCTGGCCGTGGTTTTTTTAATTTAACCCCCACAGCAGTGACTGTAAAACAAGCTCTGCTAATTGTTCCACACTGTAGCGTTTAGCTGAAGTCACCAAAGACACCCTGGTTGATTTCCAGAGAGCTAATATCGCCTGACTGCAACCAGATAACATCAGCAAACACTGGGTTTCCACTGAAGCTGCAGCACAAGGCCTGCTCGCTGCTAACAACAGGTTCCTGGTAGCACACAAGTTGACCAAAAGGCTGAAATCATTTTTTTCATTTCTACCTGCAAAATGGGCAGTTTTCTACCCCATCTGGTTTACAATGACACCTTCACTGCAAAACCAAAATGTTATATAAACCCAGAGTACAGTGAGTTATGGAGGCCTCATTTACTATGTAGTAAGAAAAAAACAGATGTTGACACAAGAATAATAATTACAATAAAATGTGAAGAGACAAGAGCCAATTATAGCATTTTAAGTTTTGCAAACAAATGAACCAATAAGAGCAGCTTGAAGTCAAATAAGATTAAATTAAAAGCCAGAATTAATGTACTAATAAAAACGAGTAAATCTCTAGATTGCAGGTGCACAGTAAATAAACCAGGTTTTTTCTAGCTCAGTAAAACCACCTGCAGTGTAATCCAATCATTTCTATGGTAAGGACACACGTTAAATCAGTAATGAAGTGATATAAGGGGCTTCAAAACCAGTCATGGCCTTTATGCTTAAATAAATAAATGTACTGTCTGTTACACCTTACAAATCAGCAAACAGCTCAAAGGGATGAGTGTCTGACTATCAGCAATAATACATCTCAGTGATAAACAATTATGCAAGCGAGTGTTTTTCGACAGTTCAGCAGGAAACATGATCTAGTTCTGTAACAGAAACCAATTTCTTGTCAGAGTTTAGTCACCAGAGTGAACACATGAAGATATTTGTGCTCTTATCGCTGATTTCTTTCATATTAACTTGTTGTGTTGATGCTACACCATCAAGGAAAGGCAGCTTCCCTCTTGCGTCAAATTGCACCTGTTGAAGAGCAATTTTGCAATCTGAAGTACTCTATTAATCACTTGACAGCAGTAGCCAGAGGGCACTGGGTTGTGTTTAGTGAGTAATGACCGACTTAATCCACTAAACTGTGTCGTACCTAGTGGTCTGTCTGGAGAGCGCTGATCTTGACCTGCTTCCTGATTGGCAGTAATTCGCTCAGTCTCGCAGACTTGTGACTCGAGCCACCTGTAGTTTCTGCGGGGAGGGGCTGAGCGTTGTGTCCAGTAGCACCGGGATGCAAACGGCAAACTGAACAAACGTGTTCACTTGTTGTTGTCTTTTAAATTCAATGCTGTGGGCTGAATTACGAAGTGAGGTTAATGCGTTTGTGAGCTAGGTTGAAGCTAAAATCGCAGTTTTCCATGTCAGGAAGATTTTAACCTGCTAGGTCACCATGGTAACGGATGCTGCGCAGCTAGATCACCATGGTAACTGAACTTGCTGGAGTCTCTGTACAGAGTTTGGGATTTAAATTAGCTTTAAGAGGCGGCAATTCATTTCCTGATGAAATTCTCTGAGAGCGTTACAGATTCTCAGCTAGGCTTCTATCTGCAAACCTGTCGAGATGGATGATTCCATTAAACTAAGCCGTATGAACTGCGCGCGTCACGTTGCCAGCCTATATGTGTTTTGTTGGTGTTGCAGAAAATGCTTAGATACATTTTGATGTTTGTTGCTGATTTGCTGCCCAGTCTGTTTTACACTACTGGTGATAGAATACATATCACTAAATTATTAAATTGATGAGTCTATTGTTATTTATTACAGAGAACATCAAGTCTGTAATAATAATTTCACTTTGATTTGGCCACAAACTGAAATGATTTTCACCTGTTCTTTGTTATGAGTCAGACCAAATTATCGAGCATCACGTTTAAATGTACGACGTTTAAAGTTTCGGAGCTCTAATGTGCAGCTGTAAGTTAGAAAAAAGCAGCAGCTGCATTGAGAGTGACTGAGTTCTATTTTGCAGTAACAGCATTTTATATGGAATATTTAAAAAAAATTTTAATCCTCTTGAGTGTTGAGGAAGAAAGTCAGATAACACAAGAAATGCCCACTTTTGAGGGAGAGTGGACAGAGCCCGAAGAAGAAAGCCAAAATAAAGTTAACAACCCCTGTCGCGAACCAGTTATCTCTGCTTTGGGTTCTGGGTTTTGTCGAGCCGGCTAACACAAAGAAAGCCTGGTTTTGTCAAACTCACTCTGTAGTAAACCCCTCTGTTGTCAAACTGGTGTAACTCCAGAACAGATCCACATTTATACCACACCACCACTGTTGGAAAAAGTATGCAGCAGAAGGTCCGCTAATGAGGCTGACTCTGAGCAAAGAGGGAAGCTACCAGAGCAACTACATTTTAAAACTTAACCAGCAGAGAGCACACTCGCCCAGAGATAGCTTCCCTTTCAGTTAGTCAGTGGGTGTTGCTGGCTCTTATCAGCACGCAGAATTCCCCAAAGCTGTGCTGTGTTTTTGACATTACGGGCCTCGTATTATTAGTGTGCTTTTTAACATTTGCATACCGTTGTCAAAACGCGGTTGCTATTTGCACATGAGACAAAGTGAAATGCTTTCAGACAGCACGCAGACAGAGTGGACATGTAGTCGGCCACTGAAACTGAAGCAGACTACTTGAACAGGAAGCTTAACTTTCTGTGGTTAGCCGTGCATTGCAGAGCACTTGACTGCACACAGGAAGCCCGTGTCGTTGGTGTGTCGTCTGAGAACGGTTGCTTCGCCTGTGAGACAGCTCACTCACACATCAAGATATTTGCCTCAAAATGGCCCAGGGAAAGGATCAATCCTTCGCCAGCCGCTTATTCCACAGATATCGTAAGGGTAGCCAAGAGCAGAGAGGGCCAGAGAGCGATCTGCCTCATATCTCTGAGTTCACCATCATGTGGGATAAGTTGAGTAAGTGCTCTGCATTGCTTTTACTCCATAATGTGTTCGCCAGTGTAGCTGATTTACTCAACGCCTGTGAAGTCAGCCGAGAGGAGTGTTTGTCTGAACCGCGCGGGTCATTTAATGGGCTTCAAACGTGACTGTTTTTTGGGTGTTTTCTCTTCACATATGTGGCTGCACAGTTGGCCTTCATGTGTATATCAGGTCTTACGACTACAAACAACTTCCCGCTTTCATCACTTTCCGCATCAGGTTTACAACTGCTGTGTTTGTGCACGTTCTGCATCCACCAGAAGACAAAGCAGTTTAGGCGTAACACTTAGCGGTGTGGCGCTTCAGTGGCTTACATCATCTTAATATCTGTGCGCTGTCATGTTTGTGTACTGTTTTGTAAGTATGAACTGTATAAGCTGTTTGTTTGTTACTTTATGTGGGCTTTTTTGCACCGTCTTCTCAATCAGTGTTGTCTTTTTCTTCTTTGTGGAGCAATAAAAGCCTCTGACAGTGGCAGGAAAGTTTCAACTAAACATTGATTACTACCTGCTCTACAGAGTCACTTCCCTGTAGCCATAAATGTCACATGTTGCTTAACTGTAAACAGCTAAAAAATATATGGATTTAATTTGATATAACACCCTTGATCACTGGTTTTGGCTACAGTTTTCAGACACAATAGAAGCGAGAAATCTCCAATGTAATGTGGAAAAATTGCATCCGGCGGTAGGGATGCCTGACATTGTCTTCTTCGGTGTCATTTTGTTGTGTGACTCTAAAATGTTCTTGTTTTTAGCACTTCATAAATGTTTCTTCCTCTCTTTCTCTTCTCCATCATTTTCCATCCATGTGGGTGAATGTTCCTGAAAACCCTTGGTGAACTGTAGAGACTTTTGGTACGCTCATTTTCTCCATGAGACATCCCAAGTCACAGAGTCAATGTTTATCCCGGCTCGTGTTAAAACCGTATTTAGACAGCGGCCATGCCTGTTACTGTACATATTCCACCCAGTTTATAAATGCAAGGTGTGCATTTACACACAGTAACAACACACCAAAGTGAGACATTAGACACCTTCCAGCGACTCTCTGACTTTGGACATCTCATGTCTGCTGTGACTTTCACAATGCACTGTCTTCCTATTGCCTGCTGTGGTCTCAGTTATGTTCTGCATTTTGTCTTTCTCTCTGCCTATTATTATTATTATTATTATTATTATTATTATTATTATTATTATTATTATT